TCGCTCCTCCAACTTTATGCTGTATTGCTTTATGCTTGTCAGACCATGAAGAGAAGCACCTCCTATCCTCCCCACTTCCCACCTGACCTGCCACAAACTTACTGCTGCATAGTTCTGCAGTTCTGTAATACTTCTACAACTTCGATCATCCTTGGCTTTATCCATATCATCAGTAAACATTATACTTCACCTAGCCTTCTCAACACTGCAGTTGCCATTTTCCTAATCCGTTATCCAATGTTAGGATTAAATAAAAGCAAGGGCAAATTTTTGTCAGCTGTCTGTATTGCAATTCACAACAGTGCTAGCCACACAACACCTACCTATTTTACTGCGGTCAAGCCCTATTGGCAAGTCCCAGGAAGACACGGAAAAACTAATGAAAATTTCTTTCCTCCTAAATCTTTTGGGTCAAGTAAAAGTTCTGGAGCTCAGTGTGCAAAGTCTGTAATCTACTCTGCTTTCTAAATAGATCTTTTGGAAGCTTTTGGGATTTAGGGGGAGAGTGTGCTCCAGCTTCTCACACCGAGAAAGATCCTAGGAAATCTGTAGCATCTATGGGAAAATGTCCCAGGTGGCCACTGTGTGTCTCTTACACAACCTGTGTGGTCATTTCTTCCATTCTGGCCTTCCCTCCACTTCCAATAGCACAAGGGAGATGGGAACGTTAGGCTTTGAATAAACTGGATAAATATACACTGTATACTCTGATGTTCTCACATGGCACATAGACACTGTAATGCAGCATAAGGTACGCTGCAGACAAATGACATACAGGAGATACGCAAGAAAGCTAAAGGAGACGCTATTCTGTGCATATTGAAACACTGAGTTCATTCACTTTTCTATAGAACTACTGGTTAAATCCTATTAAATACAGTCACTTGGTTTCCCCAGTTTTTTGCAAGGTCCATCCTGAATGACAAAAATGATGAGATGCCAAAGGCTACACTTGAATATTCTGTAATCAATAACTTTTAGCTCACATTAATAGAAAAGCTATAATCACATTCCTTATTAAATTATTTACCTCTTTCATTCAATTATCATATGGTCTACTTGCCCGATCATAGGGTAATATAGAGTGGATGACTAAACAGTTTACAAAGTCTGCTTTTTTCCCCCGTAAAAAACACGTGGGAGAAGAAATGCACCACCAACATCCATTTGATGGAGACGAGTCCTTTTTATAGGAGGAGAAACAGACTCCCGTTCTGCTGGTGAGCTCTAAGAGCTCAGGTCACCATGGAGGGCTGGGTTCTAGGTTTGGCACCTTGCTTGGCTTCATTATTTTCGTAATTGCAGTAAAAACTTTTAATAGTGGGCTGATAGGAATTTGACCTTGCTCACAATTGACTATAAAATATACTTCAGTTCCTGTGAAGGCACTCTTCCTGAACCGAGTTTTTAACTGGTTTTCTCAAATGACTGAGTTAGTGGTTGGGGCTGCATCACTGCAATCTGTGGGAGTTTTGCTGTTGGTAACAAAGTCTCCGAGGAAACAGCAGTCAGTGGAGATCTCTCTCTGTTTCCCAGTAAGGTTTTTTGGCTTTCTATCCAGTTTCCTTTCCTGTTCAGAGAGATGACTATCTGAAGTGTTTGGTTAGATTTAAATCACTATGGTACTGCCAAAAAAAAGATTGTTCGACAAAGCCAACAGAAAAAAAAAATAAAAATAGCTCCTGTAGAGTTCATCTCACTCAAACCCATCCCTAATAAGCCATTTGGTCACTGAAATGACACCTGCAACATTCTCCCTTAGGATTTTAGTTAGCAGTGTTGAACATTTGGGCCACTATATTTAGCATATTCCTGCTTTTGTTTGTGCTTCTGAATTACACAGTATTCAGAACCTGCCAGTATTACTGAGTATACTGCAGGCTCTTTACTGTTTCTGATCACTTTACAAGGAGATTAAATATAACGAAGAAGCACTGTTAACAATAAGTTCCTATTTTCATTGTCCACAGGTACTTTGGAAAGCTAGTTATGGTAATTTCTTCATATGCTGTAACACAAAAATAGAGCACAGTACAATAAATTAGTCCTAGACTCATAATGAGATTTTTTTTTTTTAATCTCATTTTGAATGTAGGCATGCAAGTGTTGGAAGGTACTTCAGAAATACACTGACAGATTAAAAATAGATTTTTTTTTTCTGTGGTATCATTTCTTCCAAAACAGAAGCATAGAAATAAATATTTGGAATCTATTAATTTTTGCGACCCTTTTTTCCTCCTTATAAGTCTTTAAAATGGAACAGGAACTACAAATGAATCCAAGTAGAACATTTAGATTGATCTTAGTCAAATAGCCTGAACCAGTGTTGATCCTACTGAACAATGCACTGAAAAAGCTAATTATACAATCAGTATATGGGGATGGGTGGAAGGAAGAGACAGCTGTTTCTAGCGAATCATTTAAAGCTCTGCCTGAGAGAAAACATCCTTGGTTTTCATCATAGAGGAAAGCAAAGAGTAATTTCAGTAACTTCTGGTGCAAGCACTAGGGTATCAACACAGAAGGCCATTGTTCTTCATACTAGAAATATTTTATCATTTGTGCAATTATGATAATTGCCAGAGGATTAGCTTTGTTTCTTCTGGCTTAACAAAATAAACCAACCACCTCTTGTATACTATCTTCTATTCTGACAATCTGCAATAATGTGACCAAATTAGGGAAGAGACGGCTACAGCAACTAGAGATATATCCAAAGATGCAAACTACTGCAGTTAGACACCTTGCATGGGTGCTCCATTTCCAGTTCTGTGTTATGGCACATGTAATGGTTTTCTAAGGAGTGTTGTAACCTCAGACGTCTTCTAGATGTAAAAGACAAAAAGGAAAGGACCATACCTGGCCTTTTTAGAGCATCACTTAAGTAAAAAAAGACTAAGGTAACTGTTTACATCACTACATCATACTAAAGTCATGTAAGACATTCCCACATCCTGTGCATTCTATCACTGACAGTCCAATGCTATACACGAAACAGCAGCCTGGGATGCATACTACACGCTGTAGTACACATCTCTTGCAGTCTCCCAGGTCCTGTAAATTAAAGGTCAGATTCTCAGCCATGAACTGGCTAAAAGGTTTGGAGAGACAGAAAGAGGCACAGAGATACAGTCACAGTTTCACCATCATGGGGTCTTTTTACTCTGATTCTTGTCTCAACATAGTCTAGGGCAGTCTCATGCATGTTCTCAATTACCCCAGCTGCTTGTGGTCTCCATCAGTCACTTGATCATTACCTGGGTACAGAACCACCCAACACTCACCTGATCTGCCCCCCAGCATAAAACTTTGACAATAGGCTACCAATCTGCTATTGCAATCAACTGAAGCTAAGGATTAGTCCAGACCCTATAAAGGCACAGCCAGATCACAGCTGAGAATTTGGCCTTTGATTTTTACTTGTCACCTGCACAGAAATGCTAACCATTTGCCTAGCCAGATGGATCTGTACACACATTTTTAGATTTATTGCCAGCATATCTTCCACCCATTCTGGTGAAAAGAACATTTCTGATCAAGATTTCTATCAGGCTTAAACTATTCGATTCTTTAATAAAGTTGCCTGCTTGCATATTGCAATTTGAGCTGCTAAGTAAAGCACCTATCATCTATGCCATAGTTTAAGAGAAACAAATGGATCATAAATAAACTTTTCTTTTGCCCAGGCTCCACCTAGAAACTTTATTTTCTTATTTATGTCACAGCATTCCTTCACAAAAGGGTGTCTCTCATTCACTCAAAGATGTGCCATAGCCACCCTTATCAAAGCACAGGAAAATTTGTTTTGCTTAATTTTGAAGCCACTTTTAAAATTGCGTTGAAAATTTAACTCAACTCAACATTATTTGAGGGGGGTGGGGAATATGTGTTCAAAGGAAATCAGAGGAGTGTGACTGAAAAATACAGGAGGGGGGGGGGAAAAAAAAAAAAAAAAAAAAAGAAGTAACATACCCGGGATTCGTGATTTCTAAGGGACAAAGACAGCTCGGGAACGACCGAAAGGAAGGGGGTGGGGAATATGTGTTCAAAGGAAATCAGAGGAGTGTGAAAAAGAGAAAAAAAAAGAGGGGGGGAAAAAAAAAAAAAAAAAAAAAAAAAACACACAACCCCAAAGCATCCAAAGAAAAAACAAAGAATTCAAATAAAAAGTTGAACATTGTGGGCCTGGTCCTCATCTACCACAATGACACAATGGATGTAATTTAGAAATAAATCCACTCAAGCTGGTCAGCAAGGTCAAAGAAGAATCACACAATTAAGATCACCTTACCAAACAAAAAACTCCAATTTTGAGAATTACATCAGATTTCAGATTTTACAAGGTTCACTCATTCTTATTTTGGAGTGAGAATTTGCCAGGTTGCAACACAAAATAATACTTAATAAAAATATATGGAGCTCTACAACTCCTTTGCATAACTTTTCTGGAGTTGCACTCTCCCAGGCTGGACTCTCTTTTTTTTTTTTTTCCACTGTTCATTTTCTTCCCCCCATTCTGCCAATCTTAATCTAGCAGGGAAAGTCCTTTTCTAGCAAGCACTGTCAAAATATTCAGGACATGGACCTTGCACTCCAGGAATGCAATGCTGTGTCCCGACAGCAGTGCTGGGTGCCTCAGGGATTTGTAATAATCAACATGCATATTCCTAGCAGTCAAGATGTGTTCCACTGCACAGCTGTGCACCTCTGCCTTTGATTTGTTTGGGGTGCATGTTCCTCCCAAAGGCAAGTTCTGTGTTGCCAGGGTAGTTTGTCTGAAGAGAGTTGGTTCACTGCTAGCTGAAGGGAGGAAGACAAATCTGTTACCCGTCACTCTGGTAGGAGTTAACTAATTATCCCCAATAACTCCAGCCTTTACAATGGGAAAGTAGCACACAGCTTTTATAAATAAGAATTATTGACCTTTTTAAATAGTTTCAAAAGAAGAAACTCTGCATCAAATGTGAGTATAATTTAGGAACTACTACATAGCAGCAAAACTACATTAGACTTTCCGATTTTTCCATGGTATCCTTGGATAGATACACCACCCAGTAGACCATGTTAAATGCTCCAAAGGTAACAGGAAATAAAATGCGTGCATATTTGTCTATCTTACTCGTGCCAGAGTGGGAGGCGGGGGGAGCAGGTGGTGTGACAGCAGATGGCTTTGCAGATGCTCCTAATGTATTAGGTGTGGTGGTCTGAATCTGCTCCAGTCTAGATCCAAGCAAGTGCTGAATGGAAGGGGATCCAGCTGTGGCATGCTGGGATACAAATCCAGTTAAAATTGGGGTAGAAGGAGGAGCTGGAGGGGTAGCTCTTGCTGAAGATAAAGTCTCTGATGCATTGATGCGTGTGAAAGGGTTGGGACTTGATGCAGAAAGGGAGTGGGGTGTAATGTCAGAAGACCCCTGAGCTACAGAGGGAGGCTGGATGGAGCTGTGCCTTGTGTCAATTCGGCTCCCACCATCAGCTTCGGACTGTACTGTGGCATTCGTTCTTTTCCTCACATTCGAATTGGCATCTGTACTCTGCAAAGTTACAAAAAAATACTAGTCATTCTTAAAGTAAACACTTAAACAGAAGCAATGGAAACTTTATAATCAAGCACTATCAGAGTAATAATCACAACCAGTAGCTTGATCCTGAAGCACAAAGATACCGCGTGCTCATGAAAATAGATTTAATAGCATATAACGTGAAAAACAAGAGTTCCTTTTACCTGTAGCTGGAATACCAGGGTGACCATATCTCATGCATCACACTCCATGTGATGTGGTACCTATGAAAACTTAATACCATGAGGCTAAGGATTCTTGGGTTAGAGTCGGGGGTTTTTTCTGGGCTTATGCTCAAAACAAAGTTCTCCAATGTTTATCTATTTGTCTGATGATATAAAAACATTCTAGACACAACTTACCAGCCATGGTGGTTTACTTCTGCTTTATATCTCCAGAAAAGTAACTACCATATATTAGGAATGCTAGTGTGTCTTCTAGAGTAGATCCTATTAAAATGCAAGTATTTACCAAACCAAGTTACCACATTGCTGCTCTTTCAGAAATAAAGGCAGTGCTTTTTCACATCAACCACAGGCAATAAATTCTCCAGCTGCAATTGAACCAGTGAATAAATCAGTCTTTCATCAACTACTCCTCTCTATTAATTAACTAAGAAAAGTGGTGAATTCTCCATCACTTGATGTCTTCAGGCAAGTCTGGATGTCTTTCTGAAAGATACACTTAAGCTAAATAGTACTTATTAGGCTGGATGAGAAACTGAAATACAGATAAGGAAGTACAGATGGGAAATCCAGCAGAGTTTAATATTTTACTTCTGGGAGTGGGACTCAGGCTCTGCCTTTCTTCTCTGCATTTAAGAGGAAGCCTGACAGCTCCAGAACCTCCTTCTGGAAGGCTACCTGAAGAACAGACTTCTGAAGCTTCAGCCCTGCACCTAAAATATAACATAAACCATATTACATTTTAGATATAATATCTGAATATGTTTTGTGCAAAGACTCACTGCTTTCCAGAAGACAAAGATTTAATGGCAGATAGGGCACATATACTCAACAGCAGCAACACAGGTCTAAATACAGGCAGGACCAAACAATCACTTGTTATATATCAAAAAATCATGTTTTGTACCTCTCTGATAATACTGTTCCCAGGCATTGCCCTACACCACACCTACTGGGCCTCTGGCTCTCCTTCCCTTCACCCCTACCAGAGAATGCTGTCAAAGCTCACAGCACAAGGAAAAGGAAGAGAAAGCAGGCAGCGATCTCTCTTTCCTCCTTCATCCAACAGCAATTCTCTCCAGCTAAGTGCCAGAGCAGTAGCGGAGAACAATTCAGGTTTTATTCAAGGTACTAGTACCTTGAGTAGTGAGAAGAGTGACAACCGTGTCTGTCCACTGCATCAGTTGTGCTTAGCTGTGTTGCTCAAGGAAACAGAGAAATGGGAGCTGAAATCTCCCATTTGGGAGATTGGAGGGGAAAAAAAAAATCACTTGACGTCTCCAGTACTCCCATCATGGCCAGAATGCTGGTCCCACATCGTGTTAATCGCAGTGCAAATCAGTCACTGGCAATACTGCTGGCCTGAATTTATCTGAAGCTGTCACAGCTATATGCCAGTTCTTGGCTGATATATTTGCCAGCTCATGGTTGATATATCAAGGAATCCCTCTTAGGTTTCACAGTTTTCCTTCCTGCATAGAAGCGTGTCAATCCCTTTTATTTATTTTTCTGCATCTGCAATTCAAAGAAGCAGAGGACTGGAATAAACACCAGAGGAAACTGGTATTTCCTGAAAGAAACACTAATTGTACTGTTTGAAAGAGAAGCCTGACTCACTCTTTGGGAAGTGCAGAAGTACACACAGGTGTACAGTTTGGATACTTTCACACTAGGGTTATCAATGACCCAGGAATAGTAAAGCAGCTTTCAAGACTGCTAAATTGAAATTATAAAAGTACAATCAGGACAGGAGTGCATGTACTAGAGACTTGGTAATACCTGACGGAGTATTGCATGTTACTTGAAGGCTTGCAAAGCTAAGCAGATGCAAGTCATCGATACTCACCATCCAAAACAATAGCTCTGTGTTATGGAGAAGCTGGCACTAGAGTCATTGAGAGGAGGTGAGTTTTACTGTCTACATGCAGATTCTTGAACAACCTGGCTTTGCTCAATAAGATTCTCCCATCATAAAGCTCTCAAGCAGTGCCTGGGGAGCAAAAGCCCACAGCCTGGGGCAGGGGTTGCAAAGTAGGTCTGCACTGGAACTAAGAGTTGTCTTGCTTCCCTCCTGCTGTCTGCCTACACTAGACCGGTAGCTTAGAGGTGGTACTGCTGGAGAACAGAAGTACCACATCTTCAATCATTCCAAGCGTAACCATAAGAGAATGGTCCCAAGAGTAGAACAGAGAATTAACTGCAATTCACAGAGGCACCATTTAACTCTCCTGATCACTTACTTGCACTGTCACCTGTTTTCAACGGCCACTTCAGTACCCTTCCCTTCTGTGCATCATCAACCACAGACACTGATAAGACAGACAGGTAACAGCCAGGCTCCTTCTCACATTCCAGTCACCTCCATTTCTTTTGTGGGAGCTTGTTTCCATCAATACGTTTGCATAATACCTTCTCTTCCCCCCACTTTGCCTGTCATCTAAGTGACCAAATAAGACCTGTTGCTATTTAATCCACTACTCATGTCCCATTACAGTGTTTATTCTAGAATAAAATTATCTATACTATTTCAAATGGTCAAAACATGTAACTGTTTAAAAGTCTACTGGGCAGTCTCTTTCTTGCCACTGATAAGCAAAACTTCCAATACTTCAGGAACCTTAAGTTTAGAGAGAAACCCAGTTTCCTTGTGAGTATTACAACGTACACATAAAGCCCAACTAGATAACATTGTAAGATATCACAACATAGCACTGCATAACAAACCCCAAAAATATGGGTACACTTTTTATTAATTCTCTGGAAACCACCTTCGAAGCGCTCAGAGCACGGAAATTAGAAATGGTACTTCTAACATGCTCCACAGACAACACATCACTGAAAAGTGGTTGTTCTTGCATAATGTCATTGTAACGGTTTGGATTTGTGTTCTTGAATTGAACGTCATCCTTGAAACATACTGAAATAAGCGTGTTCCACGGAGAGAGATGCTACATTACACATGGAAAGGCAGGGGCTTTCGCCACTGCTAAAGCAGCCTGTTAACCGTTAATACTCAGTCTAACAGTGCTTGGAGCAACTTAAATATGGGAGACACAAAATCTTCTGGATCAGTGCTTAGCTCCAATACCTTATGCACCCCAGAAGCCCTAAGGGAAACACACTCCAACTCCTGTTCCCAGGAGGTTTTGCAGAATCAGCGTGCACCAGCAAAACAAGAGGCGGGCAGCCTGCCTCCCTGCTCCCTTTTTTAACAGGACAGCTGTATCACTCCTGCTGTGAGTGGCGAGCACCCAGCTCCAGGCCCTGTCAAAGCTGAGCAGAATGCACACTTGTTCCCAGGGTGGCCTCACCAGCACATTGCCCACCACCTCCCCTCAAATATCCTTTCCTTGCTCTTGCCTTACTCAAGACTATATCATGACAATAACTCATTCTCCTCCTTCAAAGGACTCAGGTGTGTCTCCTTTTTGGTTCCTCCAGTTGAAACGTTTCTAGCAAAAATTCTTGTTATTGGTTGTATACATATGATCCCTATATATTCCTCTATTTAATGTTACATAGATAATAATTTCTTCCCACATTAGTCTATTCCTCCTCTGTACTGATGCCATCTCACAACTCTACATCACCTGAAGATTAGTGCAAAGGTCACTAATAAAAACGTTAAATAAGGCTGATTCCATGGCCAAGCCTTAATGACCCAAATTCTGTTGACATCAGCAGAAATAGTAAAATGCGACATTCGGTTTGTACGAAGCAAAACATTCCACAGACATTTCAGCTACGGTGCATACCCCTAGTAAAAAGATATTGTGATAATGACAATCTGACCAACAAAATTATATACATATGTAAAGCACTTGCTGCCTTCCAAAATTATTTTACTTTGTCTTTTCAAAAATAACAGCAAGAAACACAAACCTACTGCCTATCAGTAACTTTTAGTTTGGGGGCAGGAAAACAAGAAATAAAATATGAAAATCAAATGGAAGACAAATTAAAATGCAACCCAAGACATAAAGGGATTATCCAAGTAAAGATTCCTTTCCGAGGGCAAGTCAGGAAACCACTCAATTATCCTGAGCCAACAGAGAGCTGCTGTGCTAGTCCAGATGGGGCTCCACAGGAAATACTGAGTCCACATTTTTCACGTTCGCACTCTAGATTCAGAAAGGATCTGATTTTCTGGAGACGTTTCAGTGAGATTTTTGGAAGACATTTAAAATGATGTAGCTTAGGAAACCAAAATGGGAGCCTGGAAGCTACCATAAAATGCAGTGTATTACAGCATGCAACACCAGCCTTAATACATTTGATAAAGATTGCCTTTCTATAAACACAACGACTTGCTGATTACATAAATGACACCTCACCCTTCCTTTGAAATAACCATTCTCACTTATTTCAGCCAACTCCACGCTACGCAACCACCACCAAACCACAAGTTGTAAGTACTTTGCTTTGCTGTATCCTCCTTCAAGAGGAAACCTGCTTGCTGTTGATTCTGTCAGGAGAATTAAGCATTTGAATCTTAACTGGCAGAAACACTGTGGATGAGAGTTTCAAAATCCTGGGCAACCTGAGAGCACAATTCCTGTCCATGCATAGACAAAGTCCTCAAGAGCTCTGATAATAATCTAAGAATATATATTTTGTTATAATTGTAGGACATCTTCATTGGATAAAGCTCTGTGGTTGGCCAAGATACATTAATGCTAAGAATCTACAGCACCGATCTCCTATTTGATTTTTGACAGACAAGATCGGCAACAGTGAAAGCTACGTTTCAGCCTGTAGGGGACTTCAAACATTTATCACCGAGACTTC